AATAATAATAATAATAATTTTAAGAATAATAATAATAATAACAATAATAATAATACTAATTATAAAAAAATTATTATAACAATAATAATAATAATAATAATAATTATGATTATAACAATAATAATAATAATAATAATAATAATAATTATAACAACAATAATAATAATAATAACAATAATAATAATATTATTAATAATAATTATCATCATCATCATCATCATAATAATAATAATAATAATGACAATAATAACAATTATAACAATAATAATAATAACAACAATAATAACAATAGTAATAATAATAATAATAATAATAATAATAGTAAAAATAATAATTTAATAACGACAACAACAACAACAACAACAACAACAATAATAATAATAATAATAATATGGATCTAATACAAAAAGCAGCTGAGAACAAGATGGAAAGCAATGGAACATTAGCTAAGGAACAAGATGGGAATACTGTAGATAATGAGAATAAGGGGATAAGAGGAGAAGAAGTGAATAAGGAGAAAGAACCCTGGGTTAATATGTTTAAGAACAACCGTGTAGCTAACAATGGTATTCAGCTGAACTATTTCCCTCCACAAATAGTTAATGGAGAAACGATGGTACAGTTGGAAGGGAAAGAAGTGCTGGATGAAGAAGCTAAGTGGAAGTGTGCACTCATAGCCTATGTAGTGGGTGAGTGTCCTGGGTATAATGTCATGAACTGATACATAATGATGAACTGGTCTAAAGCTGGAAAACCAACACTATTTTTACATGAAGAGGGATACTTCATTGTTAAGTTTCAGAACATGGAGGATATGAATGAGATCCTATTTTTAGGACCTTACACTATAAATAATAGGCCTATTATTTTGAAACAATGGTGCTCAGATTTTGATTTTGGGAAGGAATTCTTTGCTGAAATACCATTATGGGTTAATTTCCAAGGTTACCACTTAAATTGTTGGGGAGTAGGTTCATTGAGTAGAATAGCAAGTGCTATAGGAGTGCCCCTATTTGCTGATGAATGCACTACAAAGCAAACGAGAATCTCTTATGCTAGAATGTTGATAGAGGTGGAGATCCAAAGACCTGTTAATGAAGTGGAGTGTGTGGAATGTGAGGGGTATGAATAAAAGGTATAAGCAGAAGGAGATTAGGCTGCTTCTACAACAGAATAAGACTTCCCTAGCAGGGTTAATTGAAACTAGAGTTAAAGAGGCAAATAGCAACACTATTCTAAAAAGCAATTACTCCAGGATGGAAGATCATACACAATTATAAGGAGGCTGTAAATGGAAGAATATGGATAGTATGGGATGATAGCTGGTATGAGGTGAAGTTGTTAAAAAGTACTGCTTAAATGGTTCATTGTCAGGTTAATGAAAGAAGCAAAGGGTATCAGTTTAAAATCACAGTAGTCTATGGGTACAATACTTCAGAAATGAGGAGAAGCTTATGGATGGAATTGAAGATGTTAGTTCACAGTGTTTCAGAACCTTGGCTCATCATAGGAGACTTTAATACTACTTTATCTCCCAAAGATAGATTAGATGGAGTTCCTGTTACATTGAATGAAATCAAGGATTTTGAAGAATGTGTTAAAGATATGGGGGTTACTGAAGTACATTGGAAAGGTAGTTACTATACTTGGACAAATAAACAGGTTGGTACTGCCAGAATTGCTAGTAGAATAGATAGAGCTTTTGGGAATGATTGTTGGATGGACAAATGGGGTCATGCTGTTCTAGAATATGGGGTCCCAGGTGTGTCAGATCATAGTCCTATGCACTTGCTACTTCAGCAGAGCTATCACCAGATCAGAGAGGGATTCAAATTCTTTAATGTGGATTGAGCATGAGTCCTTTATGGAAATGGTGGATACAATCTGGAAGCAGGAATATGGAAGTGAAGTAATGAGAGGAAAATTTGAAGGCTCTCCAGCCAATCTTGAGGCAATTGAATAAGAAAGAGTTCCAAGTCATAGGCCAGAAGATTGAGAAGGCAAGAAGTGAACTTGAAGAACTACAAGAGAAGCTTTACAATCAGGCACAAGATGATCTAGTTATTAAAGAGAAGGAATTATTAATACAGCTGGAAAAATGGTCAATGCTAGAAGAAAATGCTTTAAGGCAAAAAGCAAGAGCTAGATGGATCACTTTGGGGGATACAAACAACAAGTATTTCAGCTCAGTGATAAAGGAAAGGAATCAAAAGAAACATATAAGGAGTATATTATCTCTAGATGGAAAGATGGTGTATGAGCCTCAGGAGATTCAAGTGGAGTTTGTCAAATTCTATAAAAGTCTTATGGGGTCCTCAGCAGGTTAGCTTCCAGCCATCAATGCTCAGGTGATGAAGAGAGGTCCAGTGTTATCAAGGCAACCAAGAATTCAACTGTGCACAGATGTAACAGAACAAGAGATATATACAGCATTGCAGTCTATTGGGAATGATAAGGCACCAGGCATATATGGTTATAATGCATTATTCTTTAAGCATACATGGAAGATTGTTGAAGAAGATGTTATTACAGCTGTCACACAGTTCTTCACAACAGGGAAATTGTTTAAGCCTTTCAACTGTACTCTTATGTCTCTAATTCCAAAGGTGCAAAGTCCTAAAACTGTGAAAGAATACAGACCTATAGCATGTTGTACTGTGATCTATAAAATCATTTCAAAGGTGATAACAAGGAGAATGCATGATGTTATGCCTGATATTATTTGTGAAAGTCAGGCTGGCTTTATACCAGGGAGAAAGATTGCAGATAACATTATATTGGCTCATGAGCTGGTTAAATCTTATACTAGGAAGAATATATCTCCTAGGAGTATGATGAAGATAGACCTACAGAAAGCTTATGACTCAGTTGAATGGTCCTTTTTAGAACATGTAATGGGAGGTCTGGGATTTCCATACATGTTTATTCAATGGGTAATGAAGTGTGTGAAAACAGTGAATTACACTATTGTTGTGAATGGGCAAACTACTCCGAGATTTGATGCAGCAAAAGGACTTAGACAAGGTGATCCTATGTCACCGTTCCTGTTTGCTATAGCAATGGAATATCTTAGTAGATTGCTCAAAGGACTCAGATAAGAGAAAATGTTCAAATACCATCCCAAATGCTCTAAGTTGGCCATAACTCATCTATGCTTTGCAGATGATCTTCTATTGTTCTCAAGGGGTGATCTGGAATCTATCAAGATGCTACAAAGATGTTTTTCAGACTTCTCTCAAGCCTCAGGATTGCAAGCAAATCTTACAAAAAGTTCTATTTAATGTGGAGGAGTGCAAATGGAGGTAAAGCAACAGATTATGCAACAGATGGGCTATACAGTGGAGGAACTGCCTTTCAAATACTTGGGAGTTCCCCTCTCGACAAAGAAGCTGAGCGTAATACAATGGTATCCCCTCATAGAAAAGATCATGGCAAGAATCAAGTCATGGGCAGCAAAAAAATTGTCCTATGTTGGAAGAACACAACTGATTAAGACTGTCTTGTTTGGAGTTCAATCCTACTGGGCACAATTATTTATCATACCAGCTAAGATAATAAAAGTGATTGAAGGACTATGCAGAAGCTACTTATGGTCAGGGGTTGGAGATGTTACAAAGAAGGCCTTGATAGAATGGGAGAAAGTGTGTTGTCCTAAAAGTGAGGGAGGCATAGGACTGATTAATATGAAAATATGGAATAGAGCTGCGATTGCTAAATTGTGCTGGGATCTAGCTAACAAGGAAGATAAACTCTGGATCAAATGGATTCACACATACTATATAAAGGGGCAAAGAGAGTGGCAGAGGAGGAAACAAGCAAGCTGGATGGTACAAAAAGTCACGAGTGCTCAACAAAGTGTGGAGCAAGTTCAGCAGCAACAAAGGAAGAATAAAGGGGTGGTTAGACAACTTTATGAACACATGAAAGGAGAACAACAAAAGCCAGTATGGACCTGTCTTATGTTCAACAATGTTGCAAGACCAAAAGCTTATTTCACAATGTGGATCATGTTGAATCAAAGGCTGGTGACAGTGGATAGACTAGATCAGTGGGGAATTGAAGTAGAGAAGATTTGTGTGATGTGCAACAATGAAGAAGAAACTGCAGAGCATCTTTTTATACAATGTAATTATGCAAGAAGAATATGGGAGAGATTGTTAAGCTCAATAGAGAGACAAACTGAAGCTCCAATGACTTGGGAGCAATTTGTACAATGGTGCATTATGCATGGAAAAGGAAAGAGGGCAGCTGCACAACTGTTCAAGACTATGCTTGCTGAAGGTATCTATGGATTGTGGATGGAGAGAAATAATAGAATCTTTGAACACAAGAGTAGAAATGAGGAACAACTTGTTAAAGAGATAGTCTACATTACTATTGTTAGAACTCATCATTTGGCAGTTAAGTAAGTAGTGTAGGTAGAGTTGTTGAGTCTGTTTTTGCTTTGGTTAAGTTTAAAGTATGTTGTGATAGCTACTTGGTTTGTATGGTTTTGTTCTTGGTAATTAATAAAATGTAGCTACCAAAATAATAATAATAATAATAATAATAATAACAATAGATATAATAATAATAATAATAGTAATAATAATAGTAATAATAATAATAACAATAATACTCATAATATTCATAATAATAATAACAAATAATAGCAATAATAATAATCATCATCATCATAATAATAATAATAATAAAAAAAATTATAATAATAACAATAGAAACAATAATAACAATAATAATAATAATAATAACAATAGTAATAATAATAATAATAATAATCATAATAATAATAGTAATAGTAATAC